ACCTGGCCCAAGCACCACGATCGCTCATAGAGCCATGCAGGGTGCTGCACTTGGGCAGTAGGAACCAGCAGCACATTTACACAATGGGGAACTCCCTACTCGAGAGCACGGAGGCAGAAAGAGATCTTGGAGTCATTATAGACTCCAAGATGAACATGGGCCGACAATGCGAGGTCATGGTTGGCAGGGCTAACCGGACCTTGTCATGCATCCACAGGTGCATCTCGAGTAGAGCCAAGGAGGTGATCCTCCCCCTCTACGCGACGCTGGTCAGGCCACAGCTGGAGTATTGTGTCCAGTTCTGTGCGCCCCATTTCAAGAGGGATGTGGACAATATGGAGAGGGTCCAGAGGAGGGCCACCCGCATGATCCGGGGACAACAGGGCAGACCCTACAGTGAGAGACTGCGGGACCTGAACCTATTCAGCCTCCACAAGAGAAGGCTGAGGGGGGACCTGGTGACCGTCTATAGACTCACTAGGGGGGACCAGAAGGGTTTGGGGGAGACGCTGTTTCCCCTAGCGCCCGCTGGCATAACAAGGAGTAATGGGCACAAGTTGATGGAGAGGAGGTATAGATTGGACATCCGCAAAAACTACTTCACAGTTAGGGCGGCTAGGAGCTGGAACCAACTTCCAAGGGAAGTGGTGCTGGCCCCTACCCTGGGGGTCTTTAAGAAGAGGCTGGATGCCTACCTGGCTGGACTCATTTGAGTCCCGTTTCTCTTTTTGGGGTTTCTTTGTTGTTCTCCCGCCCTGGCGGGGGGTCGGGCTAGAAGATCTACTAGGTCCCTTCCGACCCTAAATCTATGAATCTATGAATCTATGACCTGGCCATGCCCGCACCCCAGCTCAGCACTATGGAATGGAAGGGAGGGCTGCTCTAGCACCTCCCAGCTTCTAGCCTGAGCGACTGCAAGCATGTAGCTGCATTTCCTCAATCCAGAGGGAATGCTTGTACAGTTGCAAACTGATTCAACCTAGGCAGGTTAGACTAACCTGAAAAGATTGAATCAATTTAGTCTCAGGCTTTTTGAATATCTGTCCCTAGCCCTGGTTTTTGAAGCAGTTACATCCTTAGTCTAGAAACCTTCTCTACCTGTCCCCCATCTGCACAGCTGTAATTTGCCACAGAGAGGCCTATGTGAGCAGATGCAGGACTAGGAGCTATATCTATGAGTTACCACTAGAGGGCTGATGAACCAGGACAGGCTCTATGGGCAGGGGTATGAGAGATCCTGGGAAAGGGGAGGACTTCAGCTTGGCCAGCACATCTGTGGAGATTGGGAACAGGAACTGGGTAGTGCAGCTCAGAGATAATCCTGCCCTGGAGTGGCATAACTTTGAGCTGCATAACAAGTGTTTAAAATTACTTTAAGGTGTTAATGTGCAGATAATTCAGGAGCTAAGAGCTACAGGAGTCACCCAAAATTACCATGTAATAAGGTCCTCATACTGTAATTTTGGGTGTATCCTAGAGCTCTTAACACCTGGATTGTCCTCACATTAACACCTGAAACTTGTTTTAAGTGCTCATTATGCAGCTCACTTATGCCACTCTAAAGCAGGATTCTCTCTGATATATGTTATCCAGCTCATGTTGCACCACTCTAGGCTGCACTTCAGTGTAAACATCCCACCCTCCCCCTCCATTTCCTTCCTGACCTAGAGTAGTCCCACTGCCTTCCTCCTCCCACCTGCCTCACTATCCCAGATACCTATCACTATCCTCCATCTACTTGCAGCTTCCTGGCTGTCTTTCAAAGGAGCAAACAGGGGAGAGTTAATTGCTTTCCTGGCTGCTGCTGCTTTCTGGATGGGCTCAGTTCCCAAAAGAGGAGCAGCCCGGGAGCAACAGCTAACCCTTCCATGCCTGTTCCCCTAGGACAGACAGCTGGACAGCTACAAATAGGCAGTGTTGGAAGAAGGAGTCCTGGGGATGGGAGGGACAGGGGAAGCCTCAGGGGGTCAAGGGGAAAGCCCAGAATGGGAGATGGGGTGTATTCTTACCTTTCATTACTCCAGGCCCCTGCTGGCCTGAATGTGACTTCTCCAAACTTGAGTTAGCACTAACACTGAGCACAGATTTGTGCAGCTCACAGTGTAAGGTGTAACAAGGCCCTTATTGCTATTTAGGGTAAAATAACCCCCACAGAGTTCATGCTGAAACTTGTCTTCCCTCAATATTTGAGATATCTTCTAAACTGCAGTGTAGCTCTGATTTAACCTGACAGACTGCAAAAAGTACCCTAAACTTCAATTTCACAAGCTGTTCTATATGGGCTAACCTGCATACCTGTGTAACAACTTCAACCTAACTGAATAGGACTATCCAAGCAGAAGAATTAGGAGGATGGTATCTTTTTTACCACAGTATGTCAGTACGAACTAAAAGCATATTGACAGCAAAGCAGCTATATGTAATGTACTATATAGATCGAGACACACTATCACAGAAACCATTATATGCTTATATGTAGTGGACTCCATTGTACTTAGACTGCAAATCATTATTTACCCTTACAAAACTATTTTTCTACCTTATAAACTCAGAGTAGAATCCTTATTACTGTGATAGCATACCATTGAAAAGCAAGTCTACAAAGAAAACAATATCAATTCAGTTCTTTGAGAAGCTATTGTTGATTTTAGATAAATTGCATGAAACATGCATTTTGCAGGATTCCACTGAACTGGGTGGTTTTCGTAAGGATTGTCACCTGCAGTGGACATATCTTAACTCTTAGCTTTCTATAAGTTGTTGATGAAAAGTACTAAACAATGTCTCCTCGGCAGAATTTCTGGACAGTGATTTAACTCATGAATGGGTGCAGGTGCAAAAATGTCAATTTCTTCTTCAAAAGAGGTGGAATTTCACTTGCTCATTGTGAAGGGAAAAAGGTGTAAAGTAATGTAAAGTAAGGTAAAAATGGCTATTTAAAAAAATGCAAAATCAGACAACTGTTAGGATCCATTTATTTCATTCCCCCCACCAAAATAAATAAATAAAACCAACCAAGCCATATCATAAAGATGAGATTTTTAAAGACTTATATTAAAGTAGTAAAGTAGTAATGAGAAAAACAGGAAGTCAGTAGTTATTTGGTAACAGTATTTTAATAGTCCTTAACTTTCATCAACAAGGATCATCAAAATAGCATCTCTTACAATAGCAAAGTGAAGTGAATGAGATACAATTGTTGTTATACTAGTTTTGTAGTATCATTCAGCCCACCAGCTGGCAATTCATTTCTAAATACTTATCTATTATTTATATAGATAAAAGGCCTTTCCTAATCTGTTCTATAGTTGGGACAAAAATAAAACAGATTAAAAGTGACACACAGAGTGCAAATATTCAGTGAAATATTAGTCACTATTAACAAAGTATCTTTTTACTAATGGAAGTGCCCAATTTTTAGTAGCCATATAGCTTTAACAAAATAGTATTTTAATGGTAGTAAAAATGAAGCATGAGAGAAGTAGAAGTGTTATTTAAAGATCAGTGAATAAAATTTTACCCCACTGCACAGTAAATAATAAAAAAAGGGCAGGGGAGAGAAAAAAAATCATTACTACTGAATCAGCAGCAGCATTTTGTTTTGGAATTAGCCACTGTGGCTTCAACAGCTGAGTAACTCAGCATGTGCTATCAATTCATCTAAATGTGTAACAACAAATCAATACGGAATCTGTAAAGTCATTTGTTTTTTAAGTCGACATAGCAAAAATCATTGCCTTAAAATAGCTCTCTTTTTTCCCTAACTGTGAGCCTAAGGATTATTCACTCATACTAAACTCTGTGGGAGAAATGTAAGGTACTTCAGTAATAGTAGCAATTTTAAGAAATAGTACACACTTTTAAGTATTTTGTTTTTAAAATATTTTTAGTGAAACATCTGAGTGAACTGAAATGAAAAACCTGATAATCTTTTGATGAATTTCAAGGGACTTTTATTCATCACCTATATTCAAAATTATATTATGTTAACTCACCCATTTGGTAAGCCCTTAGTACAGACAAGAACATGTCATGTTTGATGCAGTATTGAAGAGGACATGCCTTTGTTTTCATGGACCATTTAACATTGTGTCGATTTATACAAGCAAAGTATAGGTAAGTACTTAAAACAGGTGAGTAAAATTACCTAAGAGAACACAGATTGTTTCTCCCCTCCCCAAAGGACTCAACACAATTATGGAAGTCATTGATTTGAAAAACAAACAAAATTAAAAACAAAAAAAACCCTCAACTTGAATGAAGATTTAAGCAAATGTTCAGTACTACAAAAACACAACTAACTAGCCACAGAGGTGATAAATTGTGTATTTAGGTACCACCTAATTCTCTTCTGTTCAAGAAAACTGGAAAACATCACAAAAGAAGGGAATGAAATAACCATAACTGTTCTCCTCTCCTATGTAGAGAGTAGCAGTTAGCCATGTTAGTCCAAAGTCAGAATAGAATAAGGTCTCTGCCATACATTATATTTAGGACATGATTAACAAGTTAATCACATCTTAAGCTGTAAGAAACTACAGTTAAAGCAATTAGTGGTGTTATAAAACAAGGTTTAAGCCACAAAGTAATTCCACAAGTAATGTCTAAGAATTTTGTGATCGGTTCTTATCACACCATTAACTGAACGCGAAGCTTGTTGTGATCGCTTGGCTGGGAGCCCCCTCACATGGGCACACCTAATAAATAAAGCTTTCAGCCACAGGAGCACATGGGTGCCTCGGCAGCTGGGAGTCTCCTCAGCTGATGGGCTCCCAGCTGCAGAAGCTTGCTACTTGCTGCTGCACAAGCAGCCTGGCATCCCAGGCTCCTCCTGGCAATAAGGCATGATGGGATCAGATGCTTGATCTCATAAGCAGACCTCCTCCCATGCCATATCTCTATCTCCTTATTCATACTTTTAATGGAAATGGAACACACAAACACACACACGCACACGCACACACACACACACTACAAAGATAGCAATGAAGCCAACTTACAGACAGAATTTTTGTGATTACTGTCTTTGCTGGGCAGCATTTTGACTCCTCTTGACTTCAATTCAATTGCTTTTTTCACTGCAAAAATCAAGCAAACAAGACAAGTTTATTGAGACACATAGTAAAGACATACTTGTACCCAACCCAAAACATATGTAATAAAAAGGGATAAAAAGTAATACCAAAATGCTACAAAAAATGGATTTTATTCTATTTTCCCCTCATAACGCAATTTACTTGTTTCCCTGAAATAACAATAATTTAATAACTATATATCAGAAGGAAGTTAAGATCTTTATTAGCAAATATCTGCCAAAATAATATTTTGATTTCCAGTTAGAATGTGTATGTATCATGAAAATCAAACAAAATAAAAATCTGGCTCAATAAAAAGCTAATGAATTCTTTTCACTACTGTAAATGATGAAAATGTAAACATTTTTCAAATCCTTCTTCTAATTTTTGTTGGACAAAGAACTTCCAAAAACATGCATCTTAATCTTGCATTTTAATTTTTAAGGTACTCAAAACTTGGACTGAAAGCTCTTAAATATTATATCATTTTTACAAAATGACACGGGGGTCATAATAATAATTCTTTTAAAGAATTTAAAAAATAAATCACTTTTCCTCCTAAGTCCCCTTTATTTAAAGGGAGAATCAGAAGTGAAGGATGAATATGCAGCACATCTACAAAATTTAAAATGGTATGTAGCAGTCCTACAAAAGCAACAGCTTAATAAAAAGCTTAGGCCTCTCAATGTCACAATGGTGAAAACACCTCAGGGAATGTCGTGTGGAAAACTAACACCAGTAATCAAAGAAAAATACTTGTTTTACATTCAAACTTTCCCCACAGAGATTAGGGAAAGTTTATACTGTCATCATAAACACAAACATAAATACAAACAAAGTTAAATAGCTTTTAAAAAAACACCACATGTATTCACACAAAAGAAATGTATGCAAATAAAAAACATTGCATTCAATTTTGACAATATATAGAATGAACAAAATCTACATTTGTTAGTACATGCACATAACTATATATAAATATTATAACAGACACAAGGGTAGGAACCACATGCTGGCATCTGTTTAAATGACCCATTTCAAGAGAATGAATTTATATTATCTGCATCTCTACTGCTCTTTTCTATCAAAACATTGCAGCTGTTTCTTAAGGACTGATATTTTGTGTTCACTTGCCACAGGAGGCACAGTCACATATGCTGTGAAATACTTGGTATTATAAAAGCACATATTTATAACTGGCAAAATGTATGTTAAAACTCATTAAAGGAAAGTGAAATGTCACTTTAGTTAATTGTCTGCAATTGGTGGGTAGCTATATGCTGCATCTTCTGAAGATGCTACCTATATTCTTCTCAAAGGGTTCTGCCAGGAAAAAAATGCATATGCTGAACATAACATTTACAGGGAAACAGAAAAAAAGGAATGAGCTGACATTCTGGAAAGCAAGTTTGAAGGCATCTGGAAATATACCATTTTTAAATTTCATTTACATTCTACATTTTATTTAAATTCTTAAATAAAGAATATGATAGGAATGTGTATCTCAGAGGCACAGAGATAGGTATTATCAAGTTCATCATTGCAATATTTATCTCTGAATCTGGAGTCAGATTCAAAAAAGTATTCAGGCACCTAAAGCAATTAAATACCTTTTTAAATATGGTTTCTAGCTCCTAGAGCAGAATACATGGCCTGTACTTCAGCACCTGGGCTCCCTGTACAGTGAATGGGGACAGTTAGGAGTCTCAGTGGCATTCATGGCAGCTTGTATGCAGAGTTGGGAGCCACCTGTTATCAAATAGAAAATACTGAAATCTAACCCTTTTTCAGGTTTTCAGCACAGATGACAATTCTCAGCTGTGAACCCTCTTCTGGCTTCAATTTTCCTTTAATAAGGTAAGAATCACCTTTCCTTAGAAAAAGGAGGGAATGGTGAGGATGCTGTTATGAGCACTAGATCAGTTGTTTAAAGTGCTCACTCAGAATGTGGGATATTTGGGGTATATGCCCATCACAGGACAGCAGAGGGCCTAAAACCACATCTCCCACAGAAAAGTGTCCAAGCCATATATATTCCTTTAGGGGGAGAGGAATACTCTTCGTACCTATCACATACCTACTAGATTGAATGACTCAGGGGATTAAGGGGACACCTTGTTTGAGTATTTAGATCAGATAAGATTTTTATTTGTACCCAAGACATTTTATTTGTAAAATCTTAGGCAGCAGCACATTAGGTGGGGGGATTTCATGATCAGACTTTCCTTTAGGCACCTTACTCTGCCTATGCAGTACTAAATCCATCTGTGAATACAGATAGTTAACGTCATTTTGTTTTCTTTGTGGAATTACAAAACAAAGGATGTGTCCACATGAGGCACTTTCCTGCACAGAAGACTAATCTGGGCAGTAAAGCATCACTATTTTTCCACATGCAGCAGCTACTGCAGATTAAAATAGACTAATGTTCAGTTTTCTGCTACCTGTAAATACTGTATACTAGCTAATGTGGAGTAGTGCACAGTTACATAGTTGCTCCCGATCAGCTCAGGCAGCAGAGGATGAGAGACCTGTCCCCTTCCCTGGGCAGCTGACTGCTTCCCAGCCCCTGCTCCAACCAGCCCATTAGAGAAAGGACTGGGACAATGTTCCCTGCCCACAGCAGGCAACTGCTGGCCCTGGCTCCCAGATCAAGGCAAGAGTTGGGACGTTGTCCTCTGTCCCCAGCAGCTGCCTGTTGCTGGGGCTGACTCTGCCTCAGATCTGAGGTAGGGAGAATGTCCCTTGCCGCCACAGCAAGCAGACCCTGGGCTCCAGCTCTGAGATCAGAGCCAGCCCTGGCAGAGCCAGTCCTGGCCAGAGCTCCAATCTTGGAGTCTGAGAGATCTGAGTGAGGAATTGGTAGCTGCCTGGGGCAGGGGTGCAGGGTGGGAGACAGCTGCCATGGAGGCAGGACAGCTCCCCCCACCCTGTGGAGCACAGGCCTGACCCTGGTGCCGCCTGCCAGCCTGGGGCTGGCACCTGGGGGAGCCTAGCACTCCCCCTGGCTACCACATGGTAACAGAGCATGGAAGGGGTATCCCTGCCCTGAACTGCTCCCATCAGCTGTATACACATGTAGTGTGGATGTTTGACTGCACAGGGACAACTAGCCATGATGCACCTTGTGCCACTGCTACTTGTCCCCAGAGAACACCTGTGCCAAGCACCCTCTGGCATGCGGCAAATTACCCCGGGGCACTAGGGGAGGCTAAAGCCAGCACTGGTCTGGGGTCCTAAGGACCTCCTTGGGCTGCAGCAATGGTGATTCTGCTATGCGGGCCTAGCTGGTAGCCACAGTGCAGCTCTGGGTGATCCAGCACTGGTATTGAGAGGCACATACTGCTCTGCATTTTTTCTCTGCAGGTTTTTTCCTCCATGGGATACCCAGAGGTAAAAAAAAAAAAAAAAA